TCAAGGCTTAACCAATGTGAGTAGTTGATACTGAATCCCCTAAAATGTATGAGATAATAAAAGTGGATAGTTCCAAAATCGAATATAATAAAATATTGGAATTCTAAGAATTGCCTCCACAAAATCCGGAACAACGAAAATAGGGATGAAATCACATTGTTGTCCCATCTTTTCTCTCCAGGAATCATTAGGTCACAACCTAAACACTGGGGATCTAAAGATTCTCCAGATCTGGCTACAGGTTTGAAATGCAGCATTAAAGGAACCCGAACCTGAGGATCGACCCAAACTCTGGTGGAATTACCATTGCCAATTATGAATAGGAGGGCCTTCCGGATCACATCTCTGGAGGAGAGGATGCCCCTCCAAATCCAATATGCCCGCCTGGGGACTCCTGCATACCCCAGTGGCTGTAGTTTATAGTGGTCTTTCCCAGCAATACAGTTCGCAATAATCAAGTTGCAGTTGCGTCTTTCCTTCCTTCGTTAGGACCAGCCGAGTTAGTAGAAGTGCCCCTTGAAGCCATTAGAAGTTCCCCGCCAGCAGCCAATTCCCTTGCGAGCGTGCCCTTGTGTGGGTGATAATTCATATGTTGCATTTGCGCGCTAAGCCCTTTTCTTAAAAATTCCTTACCGATGGTTTGAGATGCAGTTACTCTTGGAGTTGGAGTCTCTTTCGGGGTTTTGCTCCAGCCTGTCCTGGGGTTGTAGTTCCCCATTTTCTGTCGTCGGAAAGAGGTCAATTATATCGAGCCTCGACTCTAGCACCATTGGGAGAAAGATTTTGATAGTTTATGTTTCTGGGTAAGATTTCTCGTGGCAATCCCCCTTTAAAGCAAGCTGACAAGGTAAATAACGCAGGCTAGTCTCTTTCTAAACGAATTCTCCTATAAAAATCTTCTTTCTTTGCGGGCTTAGTTAGCAAATCAAAAGAGTCAAGCCAGCAAGAAGCCCAGGGAAATAAGTAGGTGTCGACGTGAAAATTAAGGGCTCAGGGGGAGGTAGTAATCATGTAAACACGATTTTGGGACTTGAGGAAACCCCGGTTAACCCTTCTAAGACGATTAGGCGCGCCCCTTCTATTGTCTTAGGAACTTCCTTCTCCTCTTCTTCTTTGTTTGCATCTTCTCCTTCCTGGTTCTATCAAGGCAGACATCCCCTTCCCTGGGTCTTAAACCATCGCGTTTCAGAACATCCAACTACAACTACTACGATGAGGCGCTATCACTTATACGACAGACAGGAAGCTTGCGCGACTATCTAAAGAAGTTAGAGAGATTGGCATGTCGCGTACGAGGCTGGCCCGAGACCGCGTTGGTTGGGGTATTTATTGGTGGGCTGAAGTTCGAGCTAGCCGCTGAGGTGTGCTTGGAGCGACCGAAATCAATGTACGCGGCAATGGAAGTGGCCCGACGTCGAGAGGATCATCTAGCGGCCACACGAAGGGGATGGGCGGAGGCACGCTACCTCGAGACGCGATGGTCACAACCGAACTCAAGCAATATGGGTCCGAGAAGCTGACCGCCTGATAGCTCTAGACCGACCAATAGCACGCTATTGCCAAGGCGCGATGACAATTGCCCTAATTGAGCCAACAATTTGTTTTTCCACTTGTTGATGTCACCAAAAATGTTGTATTTCCAATCATTGATGTTTGCTGTGAGCTTCCATATTGCCTCCAGGAATTCAAGGTCATTATTCCAGTTGGCTGTCAGCCAATCTTCCCAATTATCATGGGCTTCCCATGCCGCCCAGTACTTAAAGAAACCTCCTCTCTTCGGTAAATTGACTCTCCCGCGGAAGCTTATCAGCAAGGGAGAATGATCAGACATAGCTGACGGCAGATGTTTCACTACCGTTTTACCAAACGGAGTGTCCCATTTCTCATTCACAAGAGCTCTATCTAAACGTTCGTGCACCCGCCCCCATTTCCATGTAAAACGAGACCCCTCAAAGCCCAAAATTTTCATGTTAAAGGTTAAAATTTTCTAAGTCAGATCAGTAAATCATGTGCAAGGCTAAATTTTTCATGTTAAAGGTTGTTATAATTCTCAAGCCATTGTTAAAGTAACGATTTCCAGT